AGATAAATTATTTTAATCCTTTTTATAAAATCCGTATTTATTTAGAATATAAAATAAAAATTCTTGATTAATTTTATCAAAAGCTTTTTCCTGATCTTGTTTTGTTGTTGTTTGAAGCTAAGCACAAAGCTACACAATGGGCTATCTGTATCGAAACCCGGTTTCTAGCGTTGTAAGTCCACAGACATACCGCTGTGCCACTGAGGGGCTCTGCCACTTTGTTGTCTCTCGTCTTCGTTGATCTCAGGTTCGCTCCACTTGTTCTCCTGTTCTGCCTGTTTCTTCTCCTCTTCGACCATTTTATCAACTAGGTTTTGAACTACAGTTTCCACTTTATCTTCTACGGACACTTCCTGAGTAGTACTGGATTCTATAACAGATGCAAAAGTTTTGACATTACAAGTACGGAAGGCTTGAGCCTCTCTGCACTGCTTTACAGCCCTTAACGCAGTTTTGCGACGTGTGACCTACTTCGTCACATGTGTTACACAGCACATTTGTGCATTCTGGGGCAAAGTGCCCTTCCTTTCGACACTTCGCGCACTGTTTGGCCATCCCCGTATAATTAACCATTGTCCAAAATTGTCCAACCTGTACAAAATTAGGGATAAGTTGAAACATGTTTATCTTAACCATTCGAGCTCTAGTATGAACTTTAGAGTCTTGATAGAGTTATCTGAAACCTTGGTGAACTTTGCTATATATCATTAACGAACTTGCAAAAACTTATCAAGAACTTCATGAGGTATCAGTCTAACCCTAATCCATATCGGGTTGTTCCCGGCTGATTTGAATTTTCGAAATTCACTTTTGTCATGAATTTCTCCTCGACTTAAAGCTGAAACTGTAACATTATAAGATGTAAAAGTGCAACATACTCTATCCCTGCCTTGCGGTTGCAGACAATTAACAGAACCATAATCTAATGCCTCTTTCCTCATGAAATCATTGAACTCATTAGAGATATAAAATATAAAAGGCTTCACTTTTAGGCTTAACAAAAGTTAACGGTTTTTGGCTTAATTATTAATATACTTCTTTTTTTCTCTTTTGGGTTGGGAGATTAACAAAGTTTGTTTTTCTTTATCCGGAAAGCAGAGAAGAGGTGCCATTATAACACAACATATTAATGTTAATCGTAGGAATTCTGTGTTTTTTCAAGTTCCGGTACAAGGTTCCTTGATAGCCTTCAATTTTGTTTGGTTACAGAGCTATCAAATAGAAAATCAGACCTCTCCTTCCACACCCACCTTTACATCCTCCATTTCAGGATTAGTTAATAGTTCTCTCTTACGTTTAATTGTATATTACCTATAACCAATAGAAAGCGAAGGTTTGTATCTATTAACTGACTTATTGTATAACATTCTGTTCTGAACAGAAAAGCGTCAATTTCACTTATAATACACGGCTCATTCCAGTGGAGAAGTGAAGGACTAGTTTGGATGAATTGACATATTTTCACTCAGTTGAAAGCACCTCACGTTCACCATTTCTATTGCGCTTTATTACTTCCATTTTTACATTGAGCATAATACTTTGCACTTTTTCTTACCTCATCACGTTCACTGCTACTAGCACTACGTTTGATACTCATTATTGAAGGGTTGCAACGAAACTTTGCGATAAACACACCCATTACAATGAGCACTCACACCGACCCCACAGTGCGAGAAAACACTCGAGGACTGGCAACGTTCCTTCCCTACCTTTATGTGATGTAGCTCAGCAGGTGTGTGGTTATATTCTAAATATTATAATATACTTTTTGGTTATGTTATATCAATTAGTATAACATAAAATCTTAGCTAATAATCCATATGTTAATAGTACATAAGTTTTAAATTCTTACCTCTGTAAGGCAATATTTAAATAAATCCTGAATTTCCCCTAGTGTTACACAGGTGACACATTTTCTCTATTAATCTTCTCTATTTTATCCACCACCCCTCCAGTACCTACAAAATTAAACGTAAATGACCCACTATAAAATCGTAACTGCTCAGACAAACCATAATTTCTCCATTTGAAACTTTCTCCAACGTACGTACTGTTACGCCTCCAGTCATTAGTTAATTTTCCGTAAATTCGTTCCGACGAAACTTTAGCGACACAAGTCCTTTCTTAAATAAAACTGGTTTATTCTTTCCAAATACAACTTTATGATACACTCAACTTCAACAGTCGCGCTATAACAAACTATAATCCACGTCTAACGAGCTCGACTTCAACAATACGTCTCTCTCTGACTGCAGTTCAATTACTCATTACCTACACACATTGTTCCGTCACGTTGTGACCATCTTATATATACCAGACTACCCTATATCTAGTAATCTCCCGACAATTCCCGAAAGTTCGAGAGAAGGAGTGGCGTGATATAGTCACGTGACCTCGCTGACGCAACAGCATCTTTCTATTGAAATATGAGGAAAATTTTTTTTTCAAAATTTGGGCAAAAACATGAACTATAACCTTGGCTTTTCGGTAAAAATATAATTTTTATTGAAAAATGGAAAAAGCTGCTTTTTGACGCAAAATTAATAGAAAAATATCGGATAGTGCTTATTTCGTCAGAAAACTTCAAATAGAGACATTATAGCATTAACGAAAAATATTGTATCCGTGAAAAGCTAAAAAAAATTAACTTTTGCTAACCCAGAGTAAAAAGAATCCAAAAAGTGGTGTTTATTTTCTAAGAAGATGTCATGGCCTCTTAGCTGTTGGTATTGTTACGACAGCGAAAGTCACGTGACACTGGTAACACGTTCTAGAAAGATCGTGGAACATCACGAATAATCCAGTATTTGCTAGACGCCCTCTATTCTTGTATATAAGTGCGCCAGACAATTAATCGGGATTGAATTGCAGACAGACAGAGACGGACAATAGAGTCAAGCGCGGTAGTAAGTAAGCGCGTGAATCGATCCCTGTGAATTATAACGTGTTTTATAAAATTAGTTAAGTTAAATTGACTGTGGAAATCAAGTGTATTGCAAAGTTGAATTGAGAAAGAATAAACTAGTTTTATTTAAGAAAGGATTTGTGTCGCTAAAGTTTCATCGAAAAGAAATTATACGGGAAATTAAGTAACGACCAGAGACGTAACAATATTTTGTTTGAATAATCTTATTTTAAAACTATTCTTTGTTTACAACATAACATAAGACAAAAAACAGTGAAATCAAAGTTAACCGAAATTTTGTTAACAGATTATGAAATAACTATTGTGAATTTTCATGAAAGGATATCCATTTTCAAAGTCTTACATCAAGGGCATCTTTCTATTGAAATATGAGGAAAAACAAGTTTTTAAAAATTGTGCAAACACATGGGCTATAGCCTTTGGCTTTTCGGTGAAATTATGATTTTTTTTTGGAAAATGGAAAATCTGTTTTTTTGACGCAAAATTAATAGAAAACTATCGAATAGTGCTTATTTCGTCGGAAAACTAAAAATTGAGACATTATACCATTAACGGAAAATATTACGTCCCGTGTAAATAAAAAAAAAAAATTGAACTTTCGCTTACCCAGAGTAAAAAGAATCCAAAAGGTGGAGTTTATTTTTTAAGGAGACGTCATGGCCTTTTATATGTTCGGATTTTGTTTGAATAATCTTATTTTTAAAACTGTTTGTTTGTAATTAAGCACAAAGCT